CAGAGTAATTCACAAACATATTGTTCCAGTCTTCGATATCTTTATCAAGGTGATTTTTGATTTGGTTCTTGGCTGTTGAGTTTTCGGTATCACTACTTAAAGAGTTCCAATGATACACTACCCTGTTAAACAAGAAGTTTCGTCTAAGCAATTTATTGCACTTTTCTTTGGATAGCTTTTTGTTGTGGCCTCTTGAGTTTTGATTATTGCTGAGTTGGTATATATTGGTTAAGTTGCAGGCATAGATAGTATCCATTGAGAATTTTGGATGTCTTGATAAGATCCCCTCTAGTTCTGCGGTCCTTCAGTGTGGTGAGATCTAATTGAGTCAGTCTGATTTCACATGGCATTTCTTTAAGTTCACTAGGAAGTTTAGTAATTCGCCGTTGAACTCGCTCGAGTTGTTCAAGGTCTTTCGCATAAGGGTTCCAGATTTATTGTGCGTACTCAAGTTTTGGTCGAATGTAGGACATACAATTTCGAAATTATCTCTTTAGAGTGGTCTCTGAATGCTGTTTGGATGAGATGTCATTGAATTTGCCTTTTTTGTTACATCAGTAATGTGAGTATCCCATCTTAGGTCTGCCGTCACTGTGATTCCAAGGTTTTTTTGTTTTGCAACAGTTCGCATTGGTGTTTGTTGTAGAAAATAGCTATGACTTGGGTTATCCTGACCGGTGTAGTATAGTACATTTGGAATCATTGTTACAAATAAAACCCACGTTATTTGAACTTTAAGATAGAAGAACCTAAGGTCGTGGAATTCAAAAAATTAAGATAACGTATTATGTGCAAATAAAACCACTCAAAATCCAACAAACAATGATTTTATTTTGCTTACAATGTTATGTAGTAACAGTTAATGTTACTTTCTGTAAAATTTTACAGTTGACAGCTTGGTTGTTCTGATGAATCTGATACAGTGTACCTTTCCAATCCGGAGCTCTTCAAGGAATTTTGGGGTTTCACTTTCGTGAACTGGAGCTCTTCGTGTTGTTTTCTGTATCCAGGAAAGAGGATAGATTGCTGAGGTGACGTCACTCCAGCTTATCCAGACTCCAAACAGTGATCTTTATGTCAAGTAGGTACCCAGTAAAGAATAAGGCAGTTCACAAAGATTTGAAATAATAAATCCCTGAATTCTGTCAAAAAAAGAGTGTCTTGCAAAGAAAAATATATATTTTAATATAAAAAAAAATATATAATTAAATAATTGAAAAATAATCATAAGAATAGATTAAATTAAAATGCTCCCTACAGGTTGAGCCGAGTGCTGCTTTTCCGACAGTAGCAAGAATATGAACAAAATAGGATAAAAACAATAAGAAATTAAATCTTTAGATTCTCCCCCAAATAGACAAAATTTCCCTTTTAAATTAAGGTAGCTACTATAGATACTACAAGATAAACCTGACGGTGAAATCAATCAAATCCAGAATATGTCAAAATTCTTGAGATGTTTTAATTAAAACTTTTTAAATGAATTCTTGACCTGTCTGAATTTTTATTTCAAAGAATTACATCCAATTCAACTTCTCCTCGAAAAGATAATACTAAATTGATGAAGTCAAACAGAAAATGGCTATACAGACCTCTGCCTGGATTCAACAAAGAGTTGATAGGGATGGACACACAATTTCGGTTTTCACCGACTCTATTTAGAGCAAATATTCCGACACTTACAATTGATTCCGAAAACCAGAGCAGCAGTACCCATTTATAAGCCCAAAAATCTGAATTAACTTATCTCAGAAAAACGTGGAACCACCGGCAATCGGACAAAATGGAGGGCCACAATGAAATAAAAAATTAAAACATAATATCTATATGTCAAGAATAGATAAAAGATTTATCAGGTAAAAACTTAACAATGATATGATAATATGCACTGATAGCAAAATATATTGAAAAATTTATAAGGGAGAATCTAAAAATGTGAAGGTAAAAGTGTAAAAATAATAATGAATCGCCTGCTACAGCACTGCCAGGAAAAGAGCACGTTTTAGAAACCAAACCCCACAGGAAAACAATCCTGTATTTTTTATACTCAACTGCGTTTTAACCAGTTCAACCAATCAGAAGAGTACACCCAAAAGATCATATTAACTGCACCATAACTTCACAATGAAAAACCACGTGGAATGAAAGAGAATAGATAGAAATCCACTAGAATTATTTTAATTGTTTACAAATGATAATAATTTAAATTAAGGTTATGTCAAAAACAAAAAACTGCTAATTAATTAGGTCATTAGGCCAAAAAATGATTATTTCAGAATCGGAAGTTAGAGAAAGACAGAAATATATCCATTTGCCAAAAGTGAGATAAATATAATTTCTTTAAATGAAAATACAAATGACTGTCAAATGCGAAATAATTAAAATCACATTTTGAAAAATAAATCCATCGGATACTAGATGGGATGGCAGTACCTTCATTTAATAATAGATATTTGCATTTTATGCACATGATAGATAGATGGCAGTACTGGTATTATATCGAACTTTGTGGATATTTTTAGATTACTTAGATTATGAATTACTATTTTGCTGATTCTGAAATGGCAAAAATACAAATTCATAATGGAAATAAGAAGAGATGGAACATGTTACGTAAATGATAAATTTATCGTTATCATTAAGTGGCATATACTTTGTTGTCCATTCTTTTATTCTGACCAGATCTTGCTGTAGATCATTATGTTGTAATAGTGGGTTACAATATCGGTTACCATCATCCGCAAAAGATGCTTTTTTGTTGTAAATCCCTGGTACAGATCGCTCAAGTACGCTATAAATAAAAAGGGTCCGAGAACTGAGTCTTGAGCAACTCCGCTGTGTACCTGGCGCTCCTGCGACAGGCTAGTACCAATTCGTACCTGGAAAGTGCGACCAGACAAAAAAACCTCTCCGATTAGCCGAAGCAAATCACCCCTGACTTCAAAATGCTGAATTTTGTATTTAATGTATTTGATTGGTATTTTGTCAAACTCCTTTCGAAGTCGAGGTAGACTACGTCTATTGGTTCCCGGTTTTCATCAGCTAGTGTCCAGTCGTTGAGTCTGGTTAGAATCCATTTCTTTGGAGGAAAGTCATGCTGCTGTGAAGGAATTATCCTTGTTTCCAGAAAGAAAGATGTTAATTCTTTTGCTTTGATTTATTCCATGCACTCACACAGCATGCTGGTTAAACTATTTGGCCTGTAGTTTTCTGCTGTTGTTTGTTGTTTATTTCCTTTTTTAAATATTGGTGTGGCAATGGCTCGCTTCCAGGCTTCTGGAAATTCCCCAGTTATCAATAAGATGTTTAACACATTCGCTAGGGATGCTTTTAGAACTTGCGCATAGTTTTTGAGAAAAATGGAAGGAATTTCATCTATTCCAGGACTTTAGTTTGGATTTTAATGATGTTATGGCAGCTTCCACTTTCTCTGGTGTAAATTCAATGTGATTCTCAGTTATTGTGTAAGTATTTAGTGGTAGTGTGGGCGTAAGGTTGTTTTGCATCCAGAATAGTAAAAATACTCTCAAACTGTTGTGCGAAATACTCTGCAATTTCCTGGTCAGTTTTAAGCGATGTTGCGGTATCCTTATCTATTAGATTAAAGCTGGAATGCTTTGCGAACGGCTTATGTATGAATAGAATCGTTTAGTGATCGCTAATAAATAGATTGTGTTCATAGTTTCTCCTGGCCGATACTAGGCAATTCTTTGTTTTGTTGTTTTGATGTTGATAGATTTGATAATTATCTTCAGATTTATTGTTTTGATATTCATGCAGACATTTCGTTTTTTTTTTTTTTAATTTCTTTGAAAACTTCCTTTATGAGCCATGGTTTTTGCGGATTAACTTTTTGTGGTTTGTTTGGGATGTGTTTTTTTATTGTTTATGTTAAAGCCTCTAGAATTGGTTGAAATTTAATGAGTTTGCCAATCTTAATTCCCGTCCAATGGTTTCATTAACTGCGATGTAATCTGCTTTCCAAAATTGCCGTTTGTAAATTTTTCTGATTGGTTGCTACATTGATTTGTGACTTGGTTGTGATTACAACATGGTAACTTTGCCCCAAGGGGCATGTGATTTGATATCAAAACCTAATTTTTTTCATTGGTTATGAGTAGATCAAGTAATGATATCTGGGTATTGCGAATTCTTGTTGGAAAATTTATTTGTTGGTACCCTCTATGGTTTTTGAAGCTTTCTAGGAAAACTTGACTGCGTTGGTCATTTGGATGGACTTCCAGTGTATTCCACTTTATTTCTAGGTAATTGAAGTTTTCCATGGTGTAGACTGGTACTTAGTGACAATGCATTTTCAATGGTTTTTGTGAGTTGCATGTTTTCTGCTTCTATGGTTTTTTCTTTGGGTCTATACACACAAGTAACTAGAATTTTAAATTTGCCTATCAAAATTTCTAACCATATTGATTGAACAGGTTCTATTGTATTGTATGTTTGAGATATGGTTGCACGAACATTGTATCCTGCAATCTCACTTTTGACAGAAGCGTAAATTTCGACACCAGCTGCTCCTCGGTCTTTGCAAAATAGTGAGTAACCAGGTAGATGAATTAGGCTGTCTGGTATTTGCTGAGTTAGCCATGTTTCAGTAATGAGAATGATGCTCGCATTAGTGCTTTGTATAATAACTTTTGGTTAATCAAACTTGTTGGTCATGGAACATAGGTTACTGTACCAAAAGGAGATCTCAAAAATCGTGGTTTGCTTTAGTTTTTGACGGTTTGGTCGTGAGAGAGAACTATCCAAGGGATATTATTGAGATACCTGATCTTCGAGGCAACCTCAATTCCTTCCTCTTCAAGGTTTTTGTTTCTGAGTATTTCTCGGGCAGCAGCTACAGAGGGTTGAATCACACGGATTGGTCCTATTTCACCCTGGGACTCTGTTTACCCAGTCAATAGACTTCAATATCAATTTACTGAATATTGTTACTTACTGATTTAATCAGTTTGTATGCTTTTTGTAAATCATAATCTGGCTCATTTTGATTGTTGCTTTCTTTTGCTCCAAAGATCAGTACATTTGAAGATCGTTTTTGTCTCAATTGGCTCAATTGTGGGGCGATCCCCTGATGGGGGTTGATTTTTACACATGGTTTTTTGTGCTGTGACCTCAGTATTGAGTTCTTCAACTTGCCTTTTCAGGTTTGTAGTGTCGGCAATCATCTGAGCATAACTTGGTGCGTTTTCATTGATTTGTTTTTTCAGTTCCTTGGTTTCATTTTTCAAATTATCAATTCTCTTGTTGATCGTTGGCAGGTCCTTGACACTTGCATTGATTGTATCCAGACAGTCTGAGCGAAAATACCTACCTATTTCAGGCTGTGGCTTGAACATAGTACTCGGATTTCGCTTGAAGTAAAGTGATTGCAGCTTTTACATATTATTTTTCTGCATAGGTCACAAGCGCACCCAAATACCGCCTCTATTTCCTTGCTTTTGGAGGTGTCTATAAAGTAGCACTTTTCCTTAGAATTTGAACAAGTCAATGAATTAATGGTTTTGGGTTATGTTTTTGTTCAACACAATTTTATGGAATCGATAGATAAAGAGTTAGTGATTTAAATTGAAAAAATAAAAGGTAGTTTGTGTTCAATTGTATAATTTTGAAAAATTTGCTCAAGAAAAATAAACACACGACGCATTTTAGAGGTTAGGTTGTTGATGTATGTATATTATGTATACTATCTCTTGTCATATTAGATCTAAGTGATGTTTTAAGCACGTCTGATAGTGCAAAGAAAACTTCTCGATTTTTGTACTTTTAAAAGAAGGTTTCATTTATATCGGTATGCATAGAGAGAATGGAGGAAGCCGGTGAGTTCGCTTCAGAAGCTATATCCTCTTAAGCAGATGCTAAAAACAGAGTCAATACTGGAAATAAGAAATGCTAGTTTTGAGTGTTTGCACGTTGTTGTTTTGTTATTCAAAGCTTGTAGAATTTTACTTCCAAATCATTTCAAAATTATAAGATCTTTCATGCTGTGACTATGATAAAGTAAAAAGACCTATCCTTTTTTTTGCTGCATTTCCCACTTTGGCTTTTGTTTACTGTCCAAAAAAAGATCTCGTCCACACAAATCAATAACCAGGAAAAAATTTAAAATGTCCGTTCCAAATCTAGACATATAGAAGAGTTTGAGATGGCGTATAATAAATCACCAGAAGATGGAGTGACAGCTTCAACAGCAGTCAATGCTTACAAGACTAGCTAATGTCTGAAAATTGCGGAAATACCAAAGACATCGGATGAAATCTTCGTAATTCTGCTTTTAGAAAAAGGTGATAGCTCTGGCATCCATTTCCCTAGATTAGATTAGATAAGATTAGATTGATAAAAATTGGGAGAGTTAGCTTTCCGTCTGTTTGTCACTGCAACCCTTCGGATCTATTGTGACTCACTCCATGTGATAGAGCCTCGTCCAGTTATATCTCTCCGATCAGAATCCACAACCTCGACACTCTCGATAGAACTTCACAAAGGCACAAGACATGATTTGTCGCTTCTTCCATTTCTTGACAGAACCTACAGTGTGTTTCCTTCCACTACCATCAAACCTTAATATCTATCCAGTCGGTAGTGACCTGTCAGCAAACCCACCATTATTCTGGTGGCTTAGTAGGTCTGCTGTTAGTTGACCCATGGGATTTTCAAGAACTTCTTGGCTTGTCTTTGTCCCGGTATGTGTGTCCACCATTTATGGGATTCTTTTTCCACCCCTTTCTTAATGGATGCTTTGGCAATAGGCTTGGCTACCCCACGAAAGGAATCAGGTCCGGTCATTCGCATTGACAAGCCTTCTTGGGCTATTTTGTCAGCGCCTGCATTGCCCTGATAGCCTTCGTACCCTAGTACCCACCTTATTCTGACTTATTATCTCGCTTAATGCTTTGTAACTTGGAACACTGTTGCTAGGTTTCCCATAGGTATCGAAATGTTAGTTTCCGTCCTAGGTTCGTAGATTCCAGCTCCTTCCTAGGTTCTTGAGCCATCAGTGTACCAGACTGTTCCTGCCCTTATTGGGGCGCCACTTCTCCAATCGTCCCTGGTTGGAATCTGTGTTTTGTTTTGTTTGGGAAAGCTATATTAGGTTGTGGTGCTGTCCGTAGGCATTTCTAGGATATCATCTGCCTTTATCTCCCTATATTACTTGTCTTGTTCGGCATCCTGTCTGCCTATTATGTCTGATTGGCCTTGCAATAGTCTGTACGTGACGGACCGTGCTTCGCCCAACTCCACAAACAAACCATTATTGCAACCCTCTCTGTCCCTCACTGCTTGCCGCCTGCGTATGTTTATTTGAATGGGTGGAAGGTTCAATAAGACTTTTGTACGCCACTTATTTGCTTTATCGCATTTACCCGTCTGGTTCTGGTCCACCATTCTATTAATCCACCTGCGATCATTGGCCTCATCACCACAGTGTATAGCTACGAGGCCCAGTTTTTTTTCCGCACATTCTTCTGCACCTCCCAGAAGCAATTGTTGCCTTAAATGTGGTCTTCTGAATATATGATTTTCAAGTGAGTTTCTGGTCAAATATAACTCTGAGGTATTTTACTTCTTTGGAAAATTTTAGTTTCTCCCTATTTATCACCAGGGGTTTCAGTCCATTGGGGACGCATTTGGTGAACGGGGATTTCTTGAATTAACTGTTAGCTGCTCTTGTTCGCATCAGTTTTCCACTATTTGAGGGCCCCTTGGCTTCTTTCCGATAGTGGGTTGGTAAATTTGCCCCGTACCACAATCGTTAGGTCGTCTGTGTAGCCTAGGCAGTAAAAACCCTCCACAGGAAGTTTCCGGAGCAAGTCGTCTACCAGTAGGGCCCACAGCAAGGGGGATAGGACTCCACCATGTGGACATCCTCTTCCGACCGCTGCCTTTATGATGGCCTAGTGTGAGTCACACTAGGAGAAGAGTATTGTCCTGTTCTTGAGACTAGTTTCTATCCATTTGCACAGTGCCGCTGGAGATCCCCCTCCTCTCCAGCGCTCCTGTGATAGAGTTCGTTGAGGCGAGATTAAATGCCCGTTCTATGTCCAGGAAAGTGGCCAGAGCTCTCTCCTTGTCCTCTATTGACTTTGAAAGCAGCCTATTCAGGTCAACCAGTGCTAGGTCTGTCGACTTTCCCGGTTGGTATGCATATTGGCGTCCACTTAGAGGGAAGGCCTGCAATGTATTGCCCCTGATATGCTTATTCACTAACCTCTCCAAAGCTTTGAGCATGAACGACGATAAGCTTATCGATCTATATAACTTACTAGGTGTCCGGTCTAGTGTTTTGCTTACTTTCGGCAAATATGAGACCTTTACCTGCTGCCACCCATTTGGTACCTCGCCCCAAGCAAGACACGCTCTGTACAATCTACATAGATGTGGTAATAGGTTGTCTTGTGCCTTTTGCAATAGTACTATACTTTATTTTTTTCCAAGATAGATTTTGACATTGTCAACTTTGAAACATAAACAATGCCGCTAATGCCACTTATTGGCCGCTATTGTAAAACTGATGTCAACCTGCAGAAATACCTCATTTTGCAACCAATCAGGGTCAAGCGTTATTGTTTATGTTTCAAAGTTTTCAATGTCAAAATCTATCTTGGAAAAAAATAAAGTGTAGTTATATTTTGTCTGGACTTAGGTGACTTGAATGGTTGATATTGATTAATGGCCCATCTTACCTTCGTGAGTGTTACTACATCTTTACCTGTTTCTCACTCTCGTCACCCTGGTCTTCGCAGCCTTGCTTTGGGCGGTGCATCGGATGGGTCATTTATTAGGGTTTCTGTAGGAAAGTGGGCTTCCATGAGCAATTTAAGGCTTTCCTCGGCTGTCTTTTGTGTATGTGTTGTCTTCTTTTTAGAGAAATTCGACATGGTTTGTTTCGTTTTCTTTTGCGAGGACCTTGTGGATTCTTGAGCATTCAGGAGTCTCGTTTACCCTTTCGCAGAATTTCTTCCATTTCACTAAGTCGAGCAGGTGTTGATGAAAGAAGCAGTGGCGCTCTGAAAATGAATTTTCTATCTTTGCGACTCATATCAGTAGAGAACTGGGAGAGAAACTTCTAATAAAAACGCTGCTTCCTCGTTGGTACCATGAACGGAATAAATTAAGTGACGACTAACCCTCATTTTAAATGCGTTAAGGGTAAATCATGCAGGAAATGAAGTAGAGAGTTGGATTCACGATAATTTTTATTGCCCTAATTTTTGAGAAGCGCTTCAGGCGATCGAAGATACATGATCAAAAAGTACCTTATCGGCCGTCAGACCGTCGGCCGTAACGAAATAAAGTTGCGTAATTGCGTAGTATATCCATCATCATGGAAGTCTGCCGCAGTACAACCCATTCCAAAGAAAGGAAAAAAGACAGATCCGTTAAACTATAGACCAATTGCTCTACTTCCGGTGATATCAAAAGTAATGGAAAGAGTTGTGAACAATCACCTAACCAAGTACTTGGAAAAGTACAAAATTATCAACGATAAGCAATACGGATTTCGAAAATATAGGTCAACTGGCGATTTACTTACATACGTCACTCACTTATGGCAAAAAGCGATTGAGTTGCGGGGTGAAACAAGAACAATTGCCTTAGATATATCTAAAGCATTCGACAAAGTTTGGCATGAAAATCTGCTCAACAAGCTCAAAGCAATGGGATTATCGCCAAAACTTTGCACTTGGTTTGAAAGTTACCTAAAGGACAAATCCATTTATGTTGCACTGGATGGCCAGAACTCCAACTCTTACCAAATAAATGCTGGTGTGCCACAGGGAGCAATCCTTTCGCCAACTCTTTTTCTGATTTACATAAATGATCTCATAGATAAAATAGTAAATCCACTTTATTGCTTTGCAGACGATGGCAATGTAGTCTCCTCACTCATACCACCCACAGGTCTTTTCGCACGTGATTTCCATCATCTTAGACTAACTCAAATATCACAGATACATAACGACCTGGAGATAATAGAGGACTGGGGTAACAAAAACCTTGTACAGTTCAACGCGCAGAAAACCCAAGCAGCTCTGTTTTCAAAAAAGACCAGCACCGGTGAGCCAAACATCATGCTATCTGGAAGTGCTGTCACATTACAGAGTCGCTTGAACATCTTGGGGGTTACTGCAGAGACCAACATGTCTTGGCACAGTCACGTGGCAGATATTGCTAAAAGGGCGTCCCAAAAGCTGGGGGTGCTATTTCGTACAAGACATCTGTACACACCAAGCCAATTGCTGACACTCTACAAAGCCCAGATTCGACCAACTATGGAGTACTGCTCACATATATGGAGTGCAGCACCCAAACATACCTTAATGCTTTTGAACACCGT